GTATAAATTGGGGGTCTTGTACACAATTTCATAATTCAAAACCACAATGATTTTCACACTTTTTAGGGAGATAAATAACTCTCATGTTATTACAATCAAGAAGAGAAGTAAATGCACCAGGACCTCGCTAGGTGTATATGTACACACCCATGCAAACACACAACATTATATCTCTACATTGGCATCTCTTTCTCTACACCATTGCAGCCTCTATCTCTGCATTTGCAGCTGCAGAGACTGAGATTACAAGATAGAGCAGCAAGACCCCCACCAAAACTAGGACAATACAGATGAGCCAGAAAATCCACAGGATTTCATGGGGAAGCAAAAGAAGCATTTCCAAAAGGAATGCCCCAGCAAACAGTACCACCCCAAATACCAGCAACACCTTCATCACTTCCATGCCTCCGATTGACTGTGGCACAAAAACTAGCAAAACAATGAGCACAACCGACACCATGAAAATGATCAAGTAAACGAAAAGCAAAAGTGCCAAGGCATAGATATTTGCAGTTGCGAACTGAAGGCGGAGGGCGAAGCCAAAGGCTGAAGCCATGGTGAGGGCCACGGGGCCAAGGACCTTATAAAAAGGTTTTGGGTCTGCCCTTTTAATAGATGCCATCGAATCAGGGATTCGAAGGATGGATTTCGTTGGGGGTTGGCGGAGGTTTTCCGTAGTCAGGTCCATTTCTTCCTCAGCTCCATCTTTGATTATGGGACTGAAGACATGGAAAAAATAAATACATAAATACAAGAGCGAGAATAAAAAGTCAGAGAAGAAGAATTGAAGGATTCAGTTCAGAAGAATTGGAAGGAAAGTGTACAGGAGATTTAATTACGTGTGTGTTCCCAAAAAATTGACCCCACAAGTTGTGGAAACAAACAGAAAAGCAACAGGAGGACCTGTATTAGTAAAAACCGGAAGAAGAACCAGGCAAATTCGCCAAAGTATTTGTGAGAGATAAAGTATTAAATATCTTGCCCAATTACAATTAGTCCAACTCAAGACCAACAATTTTTTATGGCTATTACGGACCCTAAATTTGAGGTAAAATACCAAATACTTCATTTATTGGCAAAATTTACAAATATGGTCAGTTAACCCACTTTTTTTATTTTTTTAAAATTGCCTTTTATAAGCAAAAATTATTAAGAAGATCGATCAACTCACATTATTTTATTTTTTCAAAATTGTCCTTCAATCAACCCGAATTTTGAACTTTTTTTAGTCCTATCGTTAGTAGGGAAGTACCTTAAATCTTGAGATATTGCCCTACTAACGAAAAAACTAAAAAAAATAAATTATAATTTCGGTTGATCAAGGGGCAATTTTAAAAAATAATTTTTTTGCCTATAAACGAAGCATTTTGTATTTTACCTAAAATTTTAGAAAACTAAATCAGATAGGTAATTTTAGAGATTTCCCAAAGAAAAAGGAAAGGAGAAAAAAGACAAAGAAAATCTTATCCAAAACAAGCTTTGGTTCAACAATGTTGAAAACTCTATTGATAGAAGAAACCAAGGAAAAAAAAACATGTCCATAAGGAGATTGGTACTGCCTAAGTTGATTGAAGAACTTGAAAAACAGTAGAAAGGATGTATGACAGCAAAACAAGGACTATCTCATCAATAGAATAAAAACACTAGAGCGATTTAGATATGGAGCCTAAATTTTTTTCTAAAATACAAAATGCTGAAAATTACAAAGAAAGTTAGTCAACCCGTGTTTATTTATTTTTTCAAAAATTGACTCTTGGTCCGAGAATCCTTTGACCGGATTTTTTTTTTTTTTTTAGTTTTCTTATTAGTTTTGATTTTGAATTTAGTTTTCCCTACTAACAAACAAATTAAATAAAAAACTTAAATTCAATTTGAAGATGGAATCATATGATCAAGGGGCAATTTTGAAAAAAATAAAAAAATTGGGTTGACCGACCTTCTTTATAATTTCCACCAATAAATAGAGCATTTCGTACTTTAGGAAAAAATATAAAGTCCATACGTAAATCACTCAAAAGACTATCACGTTTGGTTTGTGTGAAAATATTTCACATGAAAAACTTCTCTTATGTGGTCAAGTGTGAGAATATTTTTATATTAATTAATTATCAAATAATGTAAAAAGATGCACTAAAACAAATTGATATGAAAATATTCTCACATGAACCGTACAAGAGAATTTTTTCATGTGAAAATATTTTCAACGAACAAAATATGCCATATAAGAGAATGATTCTTATTGCTAAGATCAAACTTTCTCAAGAGAAAAATAAATATGGAAGACCGGTGGTACCTGTTGTGAGATCCATGATATAGAGAAATTAAGTCACCGATTATGAGCTCTTTGATGTACAGCGCTTTATATAGCCACCGATTATGAACGATAGCGAATTATATCCATGGTCCATGATGCATGTGTATGACGTATGGATACATGGTCCATGATGCATGGTGTATGACGTATGAGGAAAAAATGTTGGGAAAGTCCTAGGTCGGTGTTTGCTTGAAATTCCACTTGATGACAACATCAAGAGATTATAAAATTGTAGTGGACGGTGTGGAAATCTTTGACCGTTGCTATTCTCAAATTTATTAAAATGCATTTCGCTCTTTTTGTACTTTATCTTTTGTACGTTTCTTCATTATCTTAATAAAAGCTTACCGATTCAATAAATAAAAAATAAAAAATAAAAATTAAATATTAAATGAATCACGAAAAAGGTGGAGGTGAACCACAATGAAAAACTTACTTGTCCCATTAGCATGCATATAATGGACTTAAAACAGTTTACTCCTTTCTCCAATATATTTTGATAGGTACTTTGAAATTAAATCAGAAAAGATGGGTAAAAAAACCCACATGTTGGCGGCCACGCTCTTTTTGTATTTCTCTTGAGTGCCATTTTCAGTGTAGGTCGTGCACTATTTTATGCTTATGTTCTTAAACGCCGAGCCAACCCCAGCATGTGGGGTTATGATTGATGGATTGCAATTACGAAGTCTTCAATTGAGAATATTGGGGAGGGATATCTCCTCTGAAGGTGCTTTATGTGGTTTAGTCGGGATTTTTGGGGCTTGGAGTTGTAGATGCCTTTGAGGTAAGGGTATGGTTTGTGTTTAGAAGTCTTGATAGGTCATTCTTGGAAGTAGTATTTTCTTACTTCTTTCTCTCTTTATTACTATTGTACTCATGCAGCTCTGCTCCTCTAAATAATGAACTACTAGTTAACATTAAAAAAAAAAAAGAAAGATGGGTAAAATATTAAAAGAAAAAGTTTATATAAGGTTGTAACTTTAAAATGTAGAATTAAGTTGCACCTCAAAAATCCATCATAAATGGTTGTTTTAATTGATCATCTTGACAACAAGATGTATGAATATGAAAAGAAAAAAAAAATTCGAGTCCTAAAAATAGTGTATCTTGAAATATTACTAGACAACTGTGACCGTGCGATGAAGTTTGGATGACAATGATGGTAGGCGAAATCACTGTTCATTTTTTCCTATAGACATTTTGTAGTATCTTCTTATATATATATATATATATATATAGTAAGTAAATAGTAGGTATACGACCCTAACTAACTACTATCTAGAACTATATGACGTCTACTAACGTTACTTAGTATTAGTAATATAGACGACCGTATTCTTG